GTTCTTCACTTTGAATATAGTCATGGACCTTAAAACTGGAACTCTGTTATCAACATAAATCTTGTCCTGGATTCTGGAACGTGGACTTCCAAAGCTTGTGCAACGACACCCTGGACCTCCTGGTCCAGGACCCTGGTCCAGGACCCTGGTCCAGGACCCTAGTCTTCGATTGAGCAACTGAAAATAACATGAACTTTAACGGTGACAAGTTCCAGGTACTGAGGTGTGGTGGACACGAGGAAGTTAAACGAAACACAAGGTACAGGACACAGGGTACAGGACACTAGGTACAGGACACAGGGTACAGGATACAGGGTACAGGATACAGGACACAGGGTATAGGACACAGGGTACAGGACACAGGGTACAGGACACATGACACAGGGTACAGGACACAGGGTACAGGACACAAGATACAGGGTACAGGACACAGGGTACAGAACACAGGGTACAGGACACAGGGTACAGGACACAGGGTACAGGACACATGGTACAGGACACAGGGTACAGGACACAGGGTACAGGACACAGATCTACTCATAGAAGGAAAGCAACATGTAAAAGATCTGGGAATTTTGATGTCTGACGACCTGACATTTAGTGAACATAACCGAGCAAATATAGCGGCGGCGGCGGCCAGGACAATGATAGGATGGATTATGAGAACGTTCACATCCAGAGATCCCACAGCAATGTTAATACTATTTACATCACTGGTGCTGTCCCGTCTTGAGTATTGCTCGGTACTCACTTAACCTTTCAGAGCGGGAGAGATCTCTGAATTAGAGGGAATACAGAGAACATATACGGCACGCATAGACACGATAAAACATCTATAATATTGGGACCGTCTCAAAGCTCTCAAAATGTACTCTCAGGAAAGGAGACGAGAAAGGTATCAAATAATATATACATGGAAGGTACTGGAGGGCCAGGTCCCAAATTTACACAGTAGAATAACAACATACTGGAGCGAAAGGTACGGAAGGAAATGCAGAATAGAACCAGTGAGGAGTAGAGGTGCCATAGGCACAATCAGAGAACACTGTCTGAACATCAGAGGTCCAGTGAAGAGTAGAGGTGCCATAGGCACAATCAGAGAACACTGTCTGAACATCAGAGGTCCAGTGAAGAGTAGAGGTGCCATAGACACAATCAGAGAACACTGTCTGAACATCAGAGATCCAGTGAAGAGTAGAGGTGCCATAGACACAATCAGAGAACACTGTCTGAACATCAGAGGTCCACAGCTGTTCAACACCCTCCCAGCAAGCATTAGAAATATTGCTGGAACAAAGCTGGATGTCTTCAAGAAGCACTTAGACAAGTTCTTGCAACAAGTACCGGACCAACCAGGCTGTATTGGATCTGTCGGCCTGCGGGCCGCTCCAAGCAACAGCCTGGTGGACCAAGTTATCAAAAGTCGAACCTGACCCCAGGCAGGGATCGGAAGAACTCCCAGAACCCTCTGCACGTATGTTTCAGGTAACACATGAGGACTCTCAGCTGGTGACCTCGTCTTGCAAGGGTCGACTGACATTTGAAGAAAGCCTTATCCCTGGGGTAACACTTTCACTGCCAGAGGGATAACTCCCTCACTGGTCCTAGGATAACACCCTCACTGAACTAGGGATCATCAAACCATAAAGAACACTAAGAGCCGGAAAGATAACATTGTGAGATTAAAAATAGCTGAAAACATTCACTGAAAAGATTTATGAATTTTGAGGCGAAATTCTGAAAATAAAAAGTTCATGGAGAAGGGGGTGACGACTATCATGGTCGGTGTCTCTAGGCCCAATAATATATGAATAGTTTTAAAAGTTAAATATTATAACTTTGTAACACGAGTTATAGTGCAGAATACAACATACATCCAGTCCTGTCTAATGTGCTGTAGTTCCCATTAACTCGCAGGATTCATTTTATATTACTAACAAAAATTACCAGAATCCTGTACAGTATTCTGAAATGCATCTGGGGCTTATTATTTCCCCAAAAAGTCCACTAATCAATATTTCTGATACTAAACACTAGTAGGATAAGGCTTACCATGAGCTATGGGAAGGGAAAGCTCTCAGCCAGCTAACAGGAGTCAGCAGTCGTCTGCTCCTGTACCCACCTGTGTGTAAAACTAGTAGGGTAAGGCTTACCATGAGCTATGGGAAGGGAAAGCTCTCAGCCAGCTAACAGGAGTCAGCAGTCGTCTGCTCCTGTACCCACCTGTGTGTAAAACTAGTAGGGTAAGGCTTACCATGAGCTATGGGAAGGGAAAGCTCTCAGCCTGTCAACAGGAGTCAGCAGTCGTCTGCTCCTGTACCCTCCTGTGTGTAAAACTAGTAGGGTAAGGCTTACCATGAGCTATGGGAAGGGAAAGCTCTCAGCCAGCTAACAGGAGTCAGCAGTCGTCTGCTCCTGTACCCTCCTGTGTGTAAAACTAGTAGGGTAAGGCTTACCATGAGCTATGGGAAGGGAAAGCTCTCAGCCAGCTAACAGGAGTCAGCAATCGTCTGCTCCTGTACCCACCTGTGTGTAAAACTAGTAGGGTAAGGCTTACCATGAGCTATGGGAAGGGAAAGCTCTCAGCCAGCTAACAGGAGTCAGCAGTCGTCTGCTCCTGTACCCACCTGTGTGTAAAACTAGTAGGGTAAGGCTTACCATGAGCTATGGGAAGGGAAAGCTCTCAGCCAGCTAACAGGAGTCAGCAGTCGTCTGCTCCTGTACCCACCTGTGTGTAAAACTAGTAGGGTAAGGCTTACCATGAGCTATGGGAAGGGAAAGCTCTCAGCCTGTCAACAGGAGTCAGCAGTCGTCTGCTCCTGTACCATCCTGTGTGTAAAACTAGTAGGATAAGGCTTACCATGAGCTATGGGAAGGGAAAGCTCTCAGCCAGCTAACAGGAGTCAGCAGTCGTCTGCTCCTGTACCCACCTGTGTGTAAAACTAGTAGGGTAAGGCTTACCATGAGCTATGGGAAGGGAAAGCTCTCAGCCTGTCAACAGGAGTCAGCAGTCGTCTGCTCCTGTACCCTCCTGTGTGTAAAACTAGTAGGGTAAGGCTTACCATGAGCTATGGGAAGGGAAAGCTCTCAGCCAGCTAACAGGAGTCAGCAGTCGTCTGCTCCTGTACCCTCCTGTGTGTAAAACTAGTAGGGTAAGGCTTACCATGAGCTATGGGAAGGGAAAGCTCTCAGCCAGCTAACAGGAGTCAGCAGTCGTCTGCTCCTGTACCCACCTGTGTGTAAAACTAGTAGGGTAAGGCTTACCATGAGCTATGGGAAGGGAAAGCACTCAGCCAGCTAACAGGAGTCAGCAGTCGTCTGCTCCTGTACCCACCTGTATGTAAAACTAGTAGGTTAAGGCTTACCATGAGCTATGGGAAGGGAAAGCTCTCAGCCAGCTAACAGGAGTCAGCAGTCGTCTGCTCCTGTACCCACCTGTGTGTAAAACTAGTAGGGTAAGGCTTACCATGATCTATGGGAAGGGAAAGCTCTCAGCCTGCTAACAGGAGTCAGCAGTCGTCTGCTCCTGTACCCTCCTGTGTGTAAAACTAGTAGGGTAAGGCTTACCATGAGCTATGGGAAGGGAAAGCTCTCAGCCAGCTAACAGGAGTCAGCAGTCGTCTGCTCCTGTACCCACCTGTGTGTAAAACTAGCAGGGATAAGGCTTACCATGAGCTATGGGAAGGGAAAGCTCTCAGCCAGCTAACAGGAGTCAGCAGTCGTCTGCTCCTGTACCCACCTGTATGTAAAACTAGTAGGGTAAGGCTTACCATGAGCTATGGGAAGGGAAAGCTCTCAGCCAGCTAACAGGAGTCAGCAGTCGTCTGCTCCTGTACCCACTTGTGTGTAAAACTAGTAGGGTAAGGCTTACCATGAGCTATGGGAAGGGAAAGCTCTCAGCCAGCTAACAGGAGTCAGCAGTCATCTGCTCCTGTACCCACCTGTGTGTAAAACTAGCAGGAATAAGGCTTACCATGAGCTATGGGAAGGGAAAGCTCTCAGCCAGCTAACAGGAGTCAGCAGTCGTCTGCTCCTGTACCCTCCTGTGTGTAAAACTAGCAGGGGTAAGGCTTACCATGAGCTATGGGACGCTCGTAGAGCTTTTCACACGAACAATAACACAAGTGAACTTTGAAAGGCTCGAGTGAACAAAACCGAACACTGTAACATGAGAAAGAGCTTTATGTACTGGAAACTGTTCTTGGTACAGGGGCACTGAGCGCCATGTAGTCAGCGGGGATACAGAAAGTACAGCATTTCCCGCGACCCTCGCAGATAACACCTTATGACATCATGACGTCTACAGTCTTCACCAAAAAACACTTCACACACGACCCCCACACTGAGCCTGGTACACCATGAAGTGCCCGTGATCACACTGACAGCATGGGAGGTGAGAACAGGTTGGGCACGGACCGCTGCGTGGGCTCTCAGCTCAAGCCCAGGACGGGCGAGAAGGGCTGTCACAGAGCAGGCTGTCACAGCTGTCACTGCTCTTGACAGTAGCATAATTTAGAGAAATGTGACAGTCTGTAATTATTCAACTACCCAATGAGGTAAATTGCTGGCTGTTCTTGTGACGGTCTAACATCATCAATGATCTTGCACCAATCCACTTGGGCTGGACGGTAGAGCGACGGTCTCGCTTCATGCAGGTCGGCGTTCAATCCCCGACCGTCCAAGTGATTGGGCACCATTCCATCCCCCCATTCCCCCTCATCCCATCCCAAATCCTCATCCTGACCCCGTCTAAGTCCTATATAGTCGTAATGGCTTGGCGCTTTTCCCCTGACAATTCCTCCCCCCAATGATCTTGCAATCCTTATCCACATCCCTAGATCTAAATAGCTTTCAATCACACTGTAAAATTGTATCCATATTATCCAGAGACTGTCACAACGACGTGGATAAAAATGAGTAACCCAACCCTACAGGAGAGGTAGTATCAGGCACCTCATCTTCCCTTGTACTGACTCCCTCTCCTGCTGTACCATGACTCTATGAGGCGTCCACGACAGACACATAAAGAGACGATAGCCAAAGTTTGTGTGGAAGAAGATATCGGTAAATCAAGGTATGCTGGATATGATAATGGGTTATCACGTGGTCTAGAGGGACTCTTGGGGAAAGAAAGTGGGAAGATTGGCTCCAAGAGCACAGCAGGTACACCAACCTGAGCACAGCAGGTACACCAACCTGAGCACAGCAGGTACACCAACCTGAGCACAGCAGGTACACCAACCTGAGCACAGCAGGTACACCAACCTGAGCACAGCAGGAACACCAACCTGAGCACAGCAGGAACACCAACCTGAGCACAGCAGGTACACCAACCTGAGCACAGCAGGTACACCAACCTGAGCACAGCAGGAACACCAACCTGAGCACAGCAGGTACACCAACCTGAGCACAGCAGGTACACCAACCTGAGCACAGCAGGTACACCAACCTGAGCACAGCAGGTACACCAACCTGAGCACAGCAGGAACACCAACCTGAGCACAGCAGGAACACCAACCTGAGCACAGCAGGTACACCAACCTGAGCACAGCAGGAACACCAACCTGAGCACAGCAGGTACACCAAATTAAGCAAGAGGATCTGCTGTTTACCGCAATAAAAGTGTCAAACACTTGTACTTAAGTAACAGATCAGTTGACAGACAGGTGCTGTCACAGCTCGAATCCATCTTAACTTCGAGTACCTGCCGGTTCATTCGACAACAGTTCCAGGCCTGGCGACTCCTTCAGCAACGCTGGTGACAGTTCCAGGCCTGGCGACTCCTTCAGCAACGCTGGTGACAGTTCCAGGCCTGGCGGCTCCTTCAGCAACGCTGGTGACAGTTCCAGGCCTGGCGACTCCTTGAGCAACGCTGGTGACAGTTCCAGGCCTGGCGACTCCTTCAGCAACACTGGTGACAGTTCCAGGCCTGGCGACTCCTTCAGCAACACTGGTGACAGTTCCAGGCCTGGCGACTCCTTCAGCAACGCTGGTGACAGTTCCAGGCCTGGCGACTCCTTCAGCAACACTGGTGACAGTTCCAGGCCTGGCGACTCCTTCAGCAACGCTGGTGACAGTTCCAGGCCTGGCGACTCCTTCAGCAACACTGGTGACAGTTCCAGGCCTGGCGACTCCTTCAGCAACGCTGGTGACAGTTCCAGGCCTGGCGACTCCTTCAGCAACACTGGTGACAGTTCCAGGCCTGGCGACTCCTTCAGCAACGCTGGTGACAGTTCCAGGCCTGGCGACTCCTTCAGCAACACTGGTGACAGTTCCAGGCCTGGCGACTCCTTCAGCAACGCCGGTGACAGTTCCAGGCCTGGCGACTCCTTCAGCAACGCCGGTGACAGTTCCAGGCCTGGCGACTCCTTCAGCAACGCCGGTGACAGTTCCAGGCCTGGCGACCCAGAGGCTCCGAGCTCTCAAGGCTGTTGCAGGTGATCACTCAGACTATGGTGCCAATGTCAGCATTGTCAAAATGATGTACCTTGCATACATCAGATCTTTAGTGGATTATGCTGCACCTCTGCTTGCTGTGACGCCTGAAAGAAAGCTTGGAGGGCTTGACAAATTGCTGAACGAAGCCTTGAGGATAATCCTTGGGTGCCCTCGTACCACAAAGATACTTAATATGAGAAAGGAACTTAATATTCCGAGCGTTGTTGATCGTGTTACTGAAATTATCTGTCAAATTAGTTTGTAAAAATGCTTAGGCTAACTCATCCTAACCCTTGCACAGAAGCCCTCCTGATTTTTTTTTTATTGAAGGTCAACATTGTTCCAAATGGATAATAAAAGCTGGAACTCAACTCAGAATGTATCAGGTTCATGATTTGTACCAAGAGAAACAACAACGGCACTTTCCTGCACCGTGGGAGGTTACACCCTTTCCAGTTTTAATCCCTCCCTTTCCACCAAAGAAGCAAATTAGAGATCAGCCCAAGCTTCGTCTTGAGGCAAAGCTCAACGCCTTAAGCCATATTGATGCTCTGTCCACAGAGCATTCTCTCTCTCTCTCTCTCTCTCTCAAATCATATACACTGATGGTTCCCTACACCGCCCCACGGGTGCAGCTGGAAGTGCAGTTGTTCTGACAATGGGCGATGGCTTGTACTTTGAGTGGGGAGTCCGTATAAACAACTGGGCCTCTTCCCTTCAGACTGAACTATTTGCCTTGATCCTTGCACTGAAATGTGTACAAGTCTCCAAACTTGATACATTAATTGTAAGTGACTCTTTATCATTCTTAAATGCTCTCAACTCTTTAAGACATAACTGTAACATGCTCGTGTCCGAAGCTAGACACAAATACAACAAAATTATTAAGGATGGTAACAGAGTCCATTTCATGTGGTCTCCATCTCATGTTGGCCTCCGAATGCATGATAGAGCTGATGACTCAACCAGAGAATCTGCCTTCACAGGAGTTGAATACCTCTTTGGATTGCCCATAAACAATCTGACAGCAGCAGTACACCAAGAACTTCAGCAAAACCTTGTAAATCTAAGGCAAAGTGAATTCTACACTGGCAATGCCATCTAACATTACAATGTCATGCAAGAGGAGCCACACATCTATGGTTCATCCAATAAAATCAGCAGACTTCTAGATGTTACTACTGCTCGGCTTAGACTCGGTTACAAGTATCTCTGGGAATTCTCATTATCTGCTGATGTAGACCTGACCAAATGTAAACTGTGTCAACAAAATTATTCCCACACCCTCCGTCACTATGTGATGGAGTGCGAAAAGATATGTGCTTTTTGGTTGATGGTAGCATACAGGTGTGACCCGTGACCACACCCCCACCACACCCCAGCAACTAGGAGGACCTGTGACCACACCCCCACCACACCCCAGCAACTAGGAGGACCTGTGACCACACCCCTACCACACCCCAGCAACTAGGAGGACCTGTAGCCACACCCCAGCAACTAGGAGGACCTGTGGCCACACCCCCACCACATCCCAGCAACTAGGAGGACCTGTGGCCACACCCCCACCACACCCCAGCAACCAGAAGGACCTGTAGCCACACCTCCACCACACCCCAGCAACTAGGAGGACCTGTGGCCACACCCCCACCACACCCCAGCAACCAGGACCCGTGGCCACACCCCCACCACACCCCAGCAACAAGGACCCGTAGCCACACCCCCACCACACCCCAGCAACTAGGAGGACCTGTGACCACACCCCCACCACACCCCAGCAACTAAGAGGACCTGTAGCCACACCCAAGCAACTAGGAGGACCTGTGGCCACACCCCCACCACACCCCAGCAACTAGGAGGACCTGTGGCCACACCCCCACCACACCCCAGCAACTAGGAGGACCTGTGGCCACACCCCCACCACACCCCAGCAACCAGAAGGACCTGTAGCCACACCCCCACCACACCCCAGCAACTAGGAGGACCCGTAGCCACACCCCACCACACCCCAGCAACTAGGAGGACCTGTGGCCACACCCCCACCACACCCCAGCAACTAGGAGGACCTGTGGCCACACCCCCACCACACCCCAGCAACTAGGAGGACCTGTGGCCACACCCCCACCACACCCCAGCAACCAGAAGGACCTGTGGCCACACCCCCACCACACCCCAGCAACCAGAAGGACCTGTAGCCACACCCCCACCACACCCCAGCAACTAGGAGGACCTGTAGCCACACCCCCACCACACCCCAGCAACTAGGAGGACCTGTAGCCACACCTCCACCACACCTCAGCAACTAGGAGGACCCGTGGCCACACCCCCACCACACCCCAGCAACTAGGAGGACCCGTAGCCACACCCCACCACACCCCAGCAACTAGGAGGACCTGTAGCCACACCCCCACCACACCCCAGCAACTAGGAGGACCCGTGGCAACACACCCACCACACCCCAGCAACTAGGAGGACCCGTGGCAACACACCCACCACACCCCAGCAACTAGGAGGACCCGTGGCAACACACCCACCACACCCCAGCAACTAGGAGGACCTGTAGCCACACCCCCACCACACCCCAGCAACTAGGAGGACCCGTGGCAACACACCCACCACACCCCAGCAACTAGGAGGACCCGTGGCAACACACCCACCACACCCCAGCAACTAGGAGGACCCGTGGCAACACACCCACCACACCCCAGCAACTAGGAATGGTTCAACCACCACACGGTCACTGTAGCCGCCACACCCTGGGGCCGTTCCGTGAGTGTGGCCGGCTAGTAGAGGGGGTGACACCAGGCCCCACCAGGAGCCCAAACCGGTTCCGTTACATCCGGGTAGAACCCTGGCCTAGCTACGTCAATATACATGTTGACAAGATTGTATACATGTTGCTATGATGGCAGGACTTGGAGTTATGTATAGGTCTTGTGAGCCAATTATCACCCCCCCCCTCCCTAGGTGCTAGGTGACGGGGTCTCAGAGCCGGCAGGTGACGGGGGTCCCAGCTGCTAGGTGACACTCTCTTTGTTTACTGTGCAACACTTCTCAGGGTCACACACACTGGCTCAGGAGGCTGTGTGTGTGTGTGTGCTCTCATGAGGTTCACAGGACACGATGTGGTGTGTAGAGGGTGTGGCTGTGTGTGGGGTGTGGCTGGGAGCAGGGTGTGGCTGGGAGCAGGGTGTGGCTGTGTGGAGGTGAGGGGTGTGACTGGGAACAGGGTGTGGCTGTGTGGAGGTGAGGAGGGTGTGGCTGGGAGCAGGGTGTGGCTGGGAGCAGGGTGTGGCTGGGAGCAGGGTGTGGCTGTGTGGAGGTGAGGCGGGTGTGGCTGGGAGCAGGGTGTGGCTGGGAGCAGGGTGTGGCTGTGTGGAGGTGAGGCGGGTGTGGCTGGGAGCAGGGTGTGGCTGGGAGCAGGGTGTGGCTGTGTGGAGGTGAGGCGGGTGTGGCTGGGAGCAGGGTGTGGCTGGGAGCAGGGTGTGGCTGTGTGGAGGTGAGGCGGGTGTGTGGCTGGGAGCAGGGTGTTGTTGTAAGGTGTGGCAGAGACTAAGGGTGTGGCTGTGTAGGTGACCAGCGTCTCCACGTCTCTTCTTACAGCACGGCATAGTTTTTGTCCGACCCCTCACCCCTATACTGCACTCTTTGTCCGACCCCTCACCCCTATACTGCACTCTTTGTCCGACCCCTCACCCCTATACTGCACTCTTTGTCCGACCCCTCACCCCTATACTGCAGTCTTTGTCCGACCCTTCACCCCTATACTGCAGTCTTTGTCCGACCCCTCACCCCTATACTGCAGTCTTTGTCCGACCCTCACCCCTATACTGCAGTCTTTGTCCGACCCTTCATCCCTATACTGCAGTCTTTGTCCGACCCTCACCCCTATACTGCAGTCTTTGCCCGACCCTCACCCCTATACTGCAGTCTTTGTCCGACCCCTCACCCCTATACTGCAGTCTTTGTCCGACCCCTCACCCCTATACTGCAGTCTTTGTCCGACCCCTCACCCCTATACTACAGTTTTTGTCCGACCCCTCACCACTATACTGCAGAGTATAGGTGTGTGATACCAACCTTCACTACTATAATATCGTATAAGGTGCCACCCATCAGAAGGCCCGAGTTACTAACAAGTATTAGTGACACTAATAAAGGTTTCTGTCAGACAGACTCAAGAGAGGGCGCGTCGCTGGGTTATAACACACTCTGGTCGCAAGCATCAACATGGCTTCATCACAGGATGATCTTGCTTGACCTACTCATTAGAGTTTTATGACAAGATCACAACAAACAGGAGAGGGCTGGGTCGACTGCATTTTCCTTGACTGCCCCGTGTTTGTTGAGGATACTCAGCTAATGAGAAAAGTGAGAACTGAGGAGGACTTCAAATGCATTGCAATATGAACTATACAATCTTCAGAGATGGTCTGAGAAATGGCTGTTAGACTTAAACTCTAATAAATGCAATGTTATGAAGATAGGAGTTGGAACAAGAAGCTCTCACGTACAGTACAGGGTGAAGGGAATTTCTGAGTATTTTTATACATTTTATACTGAGTATTTTATACATTCCTATCATATCCCCCATCTTCCTTCTTTTTTCTAGTGTCGTAAGGCTCAGTTCCTTCAGGCGCTCTTCATATCCCATCGCTGGTAACAACGAGTCTCATTGCAAACTTCTGAACCTATTCCAGTTTTCTTATGTGCTTCTTCAGATGGGGACTCCATCATGAGGCGGCATACTCTAAGACTGGCCTCACGTAGGCAGTGTAAAGCGACCTAAATGCCTCCTCACTTAGGTTTCTGAATGATATTCTAACTTTTACCAGTGTAGAGTACGCCGCTGTCGTTATCCTATTTATATGTGCCTCAGGAGATAGATTAGGTGTTACGTCCACTCCCAGGACTCTTTCTCGCGTCGTCACAGGTAGGCTGTTCCCCTTCATTGTGTACTGTCTCTTTGGTCTCCTATCACCTAGTCTCATTTGTATAACTTTACATTTGCTCGTGTTGAACTCCAGTAGCCATTTCTTTGACCATCTTTGTAACCTGTTCAATCCTCTTGGAGGATCCTACAATCCTCATCTGTCACAACTCTTATCAACTTTGCATCATCCACGATCATTGACATGTATGACTCTACTCCTGTAAACATGTCGTTAACATATACAAGAAATAGAATTGGTCCCAGCACCGATCCTTGTGGTACTCCACTTGTTACTGTTCGCCAGTCCGACTTCTCGCCCCTTACCGTAACTCTCTGGCTCCTTCCTGTTAGGTAGTTCCTTATCCATGCTAGGGCCTTTGCCCCCCACCCCTGCCTGCCTCTCGAGCTTGAACAGCAGTCTCATGTGTGGTACTGTATCAAAGGCTTTTTGGCAGTCCAGAAATATGCAGTCTGCCCAACCTTCTCTGTCCTGTCTTATCCTCGTTTTTTTCTCATAGAATTCCAAAAGGTTTGTTAGGCACGATTTCCCTGTCCAGAACCCATGTTGATGTTTGTTCACAAATCTAATGTTCTCCAGGTGTGCAACCAGTCGTAGCCTAATTATTCTTTCCAGTATTTTACAGGGGATGCTTGTCAGTGATACAGGTCTATAGTTAAGTGCCTCCTCCCTATCGCCTTTCTTGAAGATCGGCACGACATTTGCCTTCTTCCAGCAACTGGGCAATTCTCCCGACATAAGTGACTCATTAAAGATCACTGCCAGAGGCACGCTGAGGGCCTGCGCTGCCTCTTTTAGTATCCACGGTGATACTTTGTCTGATCCAACTGCTTTAGTTGCATCCAGTGTTGTCAACTGTTTCATTACCTCCTCGGCTGTCACCTCTATATCTGATAGTCTTGCAGCTCCCATTGTTAGAAGAGATTACTCTAGATGAAAGACTATCAGATATAGCAGGCTCGGTAGTGAACACTCCATGGAAACTGGCATTCAGTGCCTCGCAGATTTCCTTGTCACTTTTTGTATTTGCCCCTTCTGTCTTCCTTAGTCTTGTCACTTGGTCATTCACCGACATTTTTCTTCTTATATGGTTGTGTAAAAATTTAGGTTGCTTTTTCGCTTTGATCGGAATATCGTTCTCATAGTTTCTTTCCGATGCTCTTCTTATGTTAATGTAATAGTTCCTAGCTCTGTTGCATCTGATCCTGTTGTCCTCTGTCCTTTGTCTTCTGCACTTCCTGCACTCCCGCCTGCTGGCCATTTTTTGCTTCCTGACACTGTCTATTAAATCACTTCAATCAGTCAGAGATCAATTCAATCTGTTGTGTGAGGCTGGTGGCGCCTCCTTATCTTGAGATGATTTCGGGGCTTAGTGTCCCCACGGCCCGGTCCTCGACCAGGCCTCCACCCCCAGGAAGCAGCCCGTGACAGCTGTCTAACTCCCAGGTACCTATTTACTGCAAGGTAACAGGGGCATCAGGGTGAATTAAACATTTTACCTATTTGTCTCCGCCTCCACCGGGGATCGAACCCGGAACATCAGGACTACGAGTCCGAAGCGCTGTCCACCAAGCTGTCAGGCGCCCTGCCCGTGTTGGGGCCCAGTTATACGCTTCAATATGTTTATTAAAGTTACTATCAGTTTAAGTTAATAAAATTTTCGTTTAATCATTTATAATTACAGCTATGTGGAAATTATTCCCCCCCCACACACACGATTATATGATAACATTAGTTTATACTTGAGAAATGTTCAAGACACTTCATGCTAAACTTGCTGCGTGAATACGTGTCGGGGACTGTCACAGGTCGTCCTCATAAACAAAGGCCAAATACTCATTCATTTACCCGTCAAACCCCATCTTTACGTAAGTAAAACATTTTAAACACGACGCTGCAACCCGTCCTCAGACTGAAGCCTATTCCATCCAGCGGTCGACCCCAAAGGCGCATTCATAAATTTGAACATGTTCATTCAAAACAGGAGGTTTCTCAGATATAAAAAATTAGCAACCGTTGGTGCTAATATATATAATTGATATTGTTATATATTAGCATAGTGTGCATATTTAGGCACTGGTTAGGTTAGGTTAGGTTAGGTTAGGTTAGGTTAGGTTAGGTTAGGTTAGGTTAGGTTAGGTTAGGTTAGGTTAGGTGTTTAGGTTCTGTTGGCGATTATTGGTAGTACGTGGGTGAAGCATTTACAGCGTTGTGGTTCGAACACAAGTCGTCAGTGAAGCACTTGTTCCGGAAGTGTTCGGACGTCATCAGTTGTGAGTCGTGTGTAAACCGTTTTTCACTCATAAACAGCGGGTTTGGCGGGTTCATGGAATGGATTTTGGGTGTGTGTTTGGAGGACGGGTTACAAACCCCATGTTTACGAACGTAAGTAAACCATTTTGCACACGACTCACAACAGATTACGTTCGAACATTTCTCGAACAGTGCTTTGGTGACGTTTTCTGTTCGAGTCGCACCTGTAAATGCTTCACCCAATAATTCCATTAGTATCTAAACCTAACCTAGACCTAACTATACACCAAGTTTTAATATATAACAATATTAATTTATATTTGAGAAAGCGCCCATTTTGAGATCACGATATACGTTAAAATTAATAAAAGCATCTTTGTGGAGGGCGGTGATTGGTCGAGCATAATGTGAGGACTGGTCGTTAGGGTGTGTAGTCATTATGTACGGTCAGTGAGCGGTGCTGTACTGTGCGGTGCTGTGGTGTGGTGTGCTGTGGTGTGCTGTGCTGTGCTCTGCTGTACTGTGCTGTACTGTGCTGTGGTGTGCTGTGCTGTGCTCTGCTGTACTGTGCGGTGCTGTACTGTGCTGTGGTGTGCTGTGGTGTGGTGTGCTGTGCTCTGCTGTACTGTGCGGTGCTGTACTGTGCTGTGGTGTGCTGTGGTGTGCTGTGCTCTGCTGTACTGTGCGGTGCTGTACTGTGCTGTACTGTGCTGTGGTGTGTTGTGCTGTGCTCTGCTGTACTGTGCTGTGGTGTGGTGTGCTGTGCGGTGCTGTACTGTGCTGGAAAGGCAAACAAATTTATCAGAAAAATTTCACCGCTTCTGATGGATAATAGAACCATGAGTTTAGTGTCTAGAGTGATTTAGTGTTACTGGTTGTTGAAGTGTCAATGGGTGATCGTGTACCGTACAAGTCTATTGTTTACAAGGCCGCGGGGACCCTAGTGACGCCATTCTTGTCCGGCATGTCCGAAAACTGTACCGTAGTTCTCAGTGAGTACCGTGGTTCACTGTGAGTAACGTGGTTCACAGTGAGTACCGTAGTTCTCAGTGAGTACCGTGGTTCACAGTGAGTACCGTAGTTCTCAGTGAGTACCGTGGTTCACAGTGAGTACCGTAGTTCTCAGTGAGTACCGTGGTTCACTGTGAGTACCGTGGTTCACAGTGAGTACCGTAGTTCTCAGTGAGTACCGTAGTTCTCAGTGAGTACCGTGGTTCTCAGTGAGTACCGTAGTTCTCAGTGAGTACCGTGGTTCACAGTGAGTACCGTAGTTCTCAGTGAGTACCGTAGTTCTCAGTGAGTACCGTAGTTCTCAGTGAGTACCGTGGTTCACAGTGAGTACCGTGGTTCACAGTGAGTACCGTAGTTCTCAGTGAGTACCGTAGTTCTCAGTGAGTACCGTGGTTCACAGTGAGTACCGTGGTTCACAGTGAGTACCGTAGTTCTCAGTGAGTACCGTGGTTCACAGTGAGTACCGTGGTTCTCAGTGAGTACCGTAGTTCTCAGTGAGTACCGTGGTTCACAGTGAGTACCGTGGTTCACAGTGAGTACCGTAGTTCTCAGTGAGTACCGTAGTTCACAGTGAGTACCGTGGTTCACAGTGAGTACCGTAGTTCTCAGTGAGTACCGTGGTTCACAGTGAGTACCGTAGTTCTCAGTGAGTACCGTGGTTCACAGTGAGTACCGTGGTTCACAGTGAGTACCGTAGTTCTCAGTGAGTACCGTGGTTCACAGTGAGTACCGTAGTTCTCAGTGAGTACCGTGGTTCACAGTGAGTACCGTGGTTCACAGTGAGTACCGTAGTTCTCAGTGAGTACCGTAGTTCACAGTGAGTACCGTGGTTCACAGTGAGTACCGTGGTTCACAGTGAGTACCGTGGTTCACAGTGAGTACCGTGGTTCTCAGTGAGTACCGTGCGCGACACCAGGTACCTCGTCCTCCAAGACGAGGCACTCCGGCCACCTCGTCCTCCAAGACGAGGCACTCCGGCCACCTCGTCCTCCAAGACGAGGCACTCCGGCCACCTCGTCCTCCAAGACGAGGCACTCCGGCCACCTCGTCCTCCAAGACGAGGCACTCCGGCCACCTCGTCCTCCGAGACGAGGCACTCCGGCCACCTCGTCCTCCAAGACGAGGCACTCCGGCCACCTCGTCCTCCGAGACGAGGCACTCCGGCCACCTCGTCCTCCGAGACGAGGCACTCCGGCCACCTCGTCCTCCGAGACGAGGCACTCCGGCCACCTCGTCCTCCGAGACGAGGCACTCCGGCCACCTCGTCCTCCGAGACGAGGCACTCCGGCCACCTCGTCCTCCGAGACGAGGCACTCCGGCCACCTCGTCCTCCGAGACGAGGCACTCCGGCCACCTCGTCCTCCGAGACGAGGCACTCCGGCCACCTCGTCCTCCGAGACGAGGCACTCCGGCCACCTCGTCCTCCGAGACGAGGCACTCCGGCCACCTCGTCCTCCGAGACGAGGCACTCCGGCCACCTCGTCCTCCGAGACGAGGCACTCCGGCCACCTCGTCCTCCGAGACGAGGCACTCCGGCCACCTCGTCCTCCGAGACGAGGCACTCCGGCCACCTCGTCCTCCGAGACGAGGCACTCCGGCCACCTCGTCCTCCGAGACGAGGCACTCCGGCCACCTCGTCCTCCGAGACGAGGCACTCCGGCCACCTCGTCCTCCGAGACGAGGCACTCCGGCCACCTCGTCCTCCGAGACGAGGCACTCCGGCCACCTCGTCCTCCGAGACGAGGCACTCCGGCCACCTCGTCCTCCGAGACGAGGCACTCCGGCCACCTCGTCCTCCGAGACGAGGCACTCCGGCCACCTCGTCCTCCGAGACGAGGCACTCCGGCCACCTCGTCCTCCAAGACGAGGCACTCCGGCCACCTCGTCCTCCGAGACGAGGCACTCCGGCCACCTCGTCCTCCAAGACGAGGCACTCCGGCCACCTCGTCCTCCAAGACGAGGCACTCCGGCCACCTCGTCCTCCGAGACGAGGCACTCCGGCCACCTCGTCCTCCAAGACAAGGTAAGCAACAACTCGAGGCTTATACATATAGATTAAAATGAGTATTTATGTTCCATTACGACTTTAATATATAAAAACAAGTCAAAAAAGAATATAAATAGTTTTCATACCATTTCAGGTAAATTATCTAACAGCTCATCGAGGGGCAGAAATCATCGAGGGGCAGAAATCATCGAGGGGCAGAAATCAACCCATTTTTAAGGTAGGTAACAATTAACGTTTTTAACTAATTTCATTGTTCACAATTTTATATTTTCAATATATATATAAAAATATTTTCACAATTTCACTGTTGTTGTGTTATGATGTGTGGTAATTAGCCACTAATTAAGGATAATTGGATAACGAGGTCACTTCCTAAACAACAGCAGGAACTGTTGGGCCGTGGAGGACCGTCCAGGGGACAACGTCTATATGGGACAAAATGTCTCTGGACACTAGTACAAGCTAGTGACCAGGGGGCCAGATTCACGAAGCTGTTACGCAAGTATTTACGAACCTGTACATCTTTCCTCAATCTTTGACGGCTTTGGTTACATTTATTAAACAGTTTACAAGCATGTAAACTTTCCCAATCAACTGTTGTTATTGTTATAAACAGCCTCCTGGTGCTTCGGAGCTCATTAACTGTTTAATAATTGTAAACAAAGCCGCCAAAGATGGAGAACAGATGGACAGGTTTGTAAGTGCTTGCGTAACTGCTTCGTGAATCTGGCCCCAGAGATTGCCTTCGACTTGCCCTTTCCCCTGGTTTATCAGGGGGAACGAGGCATCGCCAGGCGTCGCGTCTAACCCCTAGGGAATGGTTGTTGTAAGGGGGGGGGAGGCGCCCCCCGTGGGTGAACGATTCCTGGGGGGGCGTCCTCCTGTGTACCGGGGGGGGGGGGCACTTGTCCCCCAGAGACACATAAAGTGGTCCGTGCTGGGGTCAGAAACGTAGCCAGCAACACACTGATGTATGGTGTTCGAGGCAGGAGTCCTCCTCAATGTTCCACAGGTGTAGCCGGGGTGTGGACAGCATTGACCTTCCTACATTCTTCTACGATTTTTCCAGGATTTTTCATGGTATGAAATTTTTTTTAAGTATTTCCGAAGATTTTTCATGATTTTCTAGAATTTTTCGGGAATTTCAAGGACTTTCTGGGATTTTTTTTTTAGAATTTGTTCGGATTTTCATGGATTTCACTTGCCAGCATTTTCCAGGGGGACCTTCAATGGTTTTTCAGATATTCAAGAATTTTTCCCAATTTTCCTGAACTTTGCAACGTGTTCCAAAACTTTGTAGGATGTTAATGAGTTTCCTGGATTGTTCTGGACTTTCCAGAATATTACCAGGATTTTCGAGGATTTTCGAGGATTTTCGAGGATTTTCTACGTTTCTGTAAGAAGATGACGTTGTTTCCAGGCGGGATTCAACTTTCAAGTATAAGAAACCGTGGCAATAATTCCTCCAACGTCCAAGTTAACAAATGCACTCGTCAGATTTTATCATCTTGCAAGAGTGTTTCTGAAGACTTAATCATGCACAGAAGATTCGATATGATTTTGCATGGATGATTCGATAATCACTTGCATGAAAGATTCGTTGATCTCTTGCAGGAAAGATTTCATCATCTCCCACAGCCTCTGAGCAAGATCCCAGCATCACTCACAGCCTCTGAGCAAGATCCCAGCATTACTCACAGCCTCTGAGCAAGATCCCAGCATCACTCACAGCCTCTGAGCAAGATCCCAGCATCACTCACAGCCTCTGAGCAAGATCCCAGCATCACTCACAGCCTCTGAGCAAGATCCCAGCATCACTCACAGCCTCTGAGCAAGATCCCAGCATCACTCACAGCCTCTGAGCAAGATCCCAGCATCACTCACAGCCCTGAGCAAGATCCTAGCATCACTCAGCCTCTGAGCATGATCCCAGCATTACTCAGCCTCTGAGCAAGATCCCAGCATCACTCACAGCCTCTGAGCAAGATCCCAGCATCACTCACAGCCTCTGAGCAAGATCCCAGCATCACTCACAGCCTCTGAACAAGATCCCAGCATCACTCACAGCCCTGAGCAAGATCCCAGCATCACTCAGCCTCTGAGCATGATCCCAGCATTACTCAGCCTCTGAGCAAGATCCCAGTATCACTCACAGCCTCTGAGCAAGATTCCAGCATCACTCAGCCTCTGAGCAAGATCCCAGCATCACTCACAGTCCTGAGCAAGATCCCAGCATCACTCACAGCCCTGAGCAAGATCCCAGCATCACTCACAGCCCTGAGCAAGATCCCAGCATCACTCACAGCCTCTGAGCAAGATCCCAGCATCACTCACAGCCCTGAGCAAGATCCCAGCATCACTCACAGCCCTGAGCAAGATCCCAGCATCACTCACAGCCTCTGAACAAGATCCCAGCATCACTCACAGCCTCTGAGCAAGATCCCAGCATCACTCACAGCCTCTGAGCAAGATCTCAGCATCACTCGCAGCCCTGAGCAAGATCCTAGCATATCTCACTAACCATCTGGATGTACATGACGAAACTGTGAGGAAATTCACAAAATTATTACATCTCCCAAAAAACTAACTCAAAAAACTTTCGAAAAAACTTGAAAATTCTCAAACATATACAACTGGGAATCAATGAATCTCTGAAATTTAAATTACATATTTAAGAATCATGCGTTAGGCAACTGTTTTTTTTTTTTAATTCCCCCAGAGGAGGAAAAAACAGGTTTCAAACATCCTGTGGTTGGTGGTGCTTGTCAGGTTAAAAAAAACTTGTTACGGAATCTTACTCGAGAAATATTTCTTTTCCTTGAACGAAATATATGACACACATAAAAGATTACTTGAGAATTTTATGGTCGGCAAAGAATCGTCTTGCAAGAAAAATTGTCGAGTCGTATCGTGGAAATGTTGGCATGAGATGAGGCGATGGAAGGATGCTTTGAAGTGTGTCAAGGAGTCTTCATCTTGAAGCACTTCAGGTTGTTATATCGGGGGAAAGTTGGTTAGGCCGTGGGAGAGGAACACGTTGTCATGGGAGAGTACAGCACAGGACAATGGGAGTGTTGGACAGTTGGTCATGGGAGAGTATAGCACAGGACAATGGGAGTGTTGGACAGTTGGTCATGGGAGAGTACAGCACAGGACAATGGGAGTGTGGGACAGTTGGTCATGGGAGAGTATAACACAGGACAATGGGAGTGTGGGACAGTTGGTCATGGGAGAGTATAACACAGGACAATGGGAGTGTTGGACAGTTGGTCATGGGAGAGTACAGCACAGGACAATGGGAGTGTTGGACAGTTGGTCATGGGAGAGTATAACACAGGACAATGGGAGTGTGGGACAGTTGGTCATGGGAGAGTACAGCACAGGACAATGGGAGTGTTGGACAGTTGGTCATGGGAGAGTATAACACAGGACAATGGGAGTGTGGGACAGTTGGTCATGGGAGAGTACAGCACAGGACAATGGGAGTGTTGGACAGTTGGTCATGGGAGAGTATAACACAGGACAATGGGAGTGTGGGACAGTTGGTCATGGGAGAGTACAGCACAGGACAATGGGAGTGTGGGACAGTTGGTCATGGGAGAGTACAGCACAGGACAATGGGAGTGTTGGACAGTTGGTCATGGGAGAGTATAACACAGGACAATGGGAGTGTGGGACAGTTGGTCATGGGAGAGTACAGCACAGGACAATGGGAGTGTTGGACAGTTGGTCATGGGAGAGTATAACACAGGACAATGGGAGTGTTGGACAGTTGGTCATGGGAGAGTACAGCACAGGACAATGGGAGTGTGGGACAGTTGGTCATGGGAGAGTACAGCACAGGACAATGGGAGTGTGGGACAGTTGGTCATGGGAGGGTTCAATATGTAAGAGTGGGAGGGTTCAATATGTAAGAGTGGGAGGGTTCAATATGTAAGAGTGGGAGGGTTCAATATGTAAGAGTGGGAGGGTTCAATATGTAAGAGTGGGAGGGTTCAATATGTAAGAGTGGGAGGGTTCAATATGTAAGAGTGGGAGGGTTCAGTATGTAAGAGTGGGAGGGTTCAGTATGTAAGAGTGGGAGGGTTCAGTATGTAAGAGTGGGAGGGTTCAGTATGTAAGAGTGGGAGGGTTCAGTATGTAAGAGTGGGAGGGTTCAGTATGTAAGAGTGGGAGGGTTCAGTATGTAAGAGTGGGAGGGTTCAGTATGTAAGAGTGGGAGGGGTTCAGTATGTAAGAGTGGGAGGGTTCAGTATGTAAGAGTGGGAGGGTTCAGTATGTAAGAGTGGGAGGGTTCAGTATGTAAGAGTGGGAGGGTTCAGTATGTAAGAGTGGGAGGGTTCAGTATGTAAGAGTGGGAGGGTTCAGTATGTAAGAGTGGGAGGGTTCAGTATGTAAGAGTGGGAGGGTTCAGTATGTAAGAGTGGGAGGGTTCAGTATGTAAGAGTGGGAGGGTTCAGTATGTAAGAGTGGGAGGGTTCAGTATGTAAGAGTGGGAGGGTTCAGTATGTAAGAGTGGGAGGGTTCAGTATGTAAGAGTGGGAGGGTTCAGTATGTAAGAGTGGGAGGGTTCAGTATGTAAGAGTGGGAGGGTTCAGTATGTAAGAGTGGGAGGGTTCAGTATGTAAGAGTGGGAGGGTTCAGTATGTAAGAGTGGGAGGGGTTCAGTATGTAAGAGTGGGAGGGTTCAGTATGTAAGAGTGGGAGGGTTCAGTATGTAAGAGTGGGAGGGTTCAGTATGTAAGAGTGGGAGGGTTCAGTATGTAAGAGTGGGAGGGTTCAGTATGTAAGAGTGGGAGGGTTCAATATGGCACCATGTGAAGGGTAAAAAAATGGTTGCCAATGGAGGTTAATAAATTTTTGGAGGGTGGAACATTTTTACCGTGGGAGAGTAGAACTGTTATCTTGAGGTTATCTTTTTATTATTATTATTATTATTATTATTATTATTATTATTATTATTATTATTATTATTATTATTATTATTTTCTACCACAGACTTGGCCAGACATTTACAATGCTAACCAGCATATATACATTTTCTTCTGTCCACCATGGACAGGGTTAGAGAAGTGTTAAACATATAGTTCAAGGGTTTATTGAACAGAGGTTTCTTGAGATGATTTCGGGGCTTTTAGTGTCCCCGCGGCCCGGTCCTCGACCAGGCCTCCACCCCCCTGGAAGCAGCCCGTGACAGCTGACTAACACCCAGGTACC